TGAGAAAATGAGTCTAAACTGCGGAAGGAAACGTCAAATCCGAGCAGTGCCGCTCAACTCAGCGTCCGCTGCCGCCGTCTTGTCCTCCGGTGACCGCGGCCGCACTGCCTTCTGGGAAGTCAGATTCCAGTCACCGGTGCCACTGAGCCAACAGCTATTTGAACACCTACTAAGTGCCAAGCACTGAACTAGGTTCTGGAACAGCGGTTCTCAACCTTCCTGATGCCGCACCCTTTCATACAGTTCCTCGTGTTGTGGTGACCCCCGATTTCATTGTTACAAATTGAACAGAATTAAAGCACAGTGATTAATCACAAAAACAATATGTGATTATCTATGTGTTTTCCGATGGCCTTAGGCGACCCCTGTGAAAGGGTCACGACCCACAGGTTGAGAACCGCTGTTCTGGAATGCCAGGGTGACCAAAACAGGAAATGGCGGCTGTTCCAGCACAATAATAAGTACATGTAATTGGTTCTTACCAAATTCAACATTGTAAAGACTATTTAAATCCTCTTTTACAAATTCCTGGTAAGAAAGGTCAGTTCCGTGTGGCTCTGGGCAGCTCCTTGTGCTGTGTTCACGCTGATGTGGGGAAGCTCTCCCCAGGTCCCCTGGCAGGTTCCTGCGGGTGGGCAAGCCCTGCCCAGAGGCGGCCACGGCTGGCGTCACCGGCCGGCCTCGCTGTCCGGAAGGAAAGGAAGCGTCTTGCTCTCTAACGGGGTGAGGGCTTCATGCAGGCGCTCCACGGGCCCTGACCCACCCCAGGGCTCATGGAAAAGGAAAGCCCCCCCCACCCAAGCCAGGCCCCGCCCTGCAAGGCAGACAGGCCCGGGGCGCTGGGGCTGAGGGGTGGTCCTGGGTTCAGGAGTTTGAGCTGTGGGGCTGGAGTGAACTCAGCCATTATTTCATCCCTGTGTCCACTCGTCCACCCAGCAGCCATCAGGCTCCCCCGACCGCCCGGGGGACCAGGCTTGTGGGGCTCAGCCCCGCCGCCGACCTGCGCTCCAGCTGCAGCGTCTGGGCCAGAAGAGGTGACGGGTGAAGTCACTTTAGGA